ATAAAGAGAAAAGAGTCTGTTACTTAGTTCTTTATTTTATAAGATTCTTTATAATCTGCAGATCTTTCTCTGATTATTATATAGATTTATCTTATATCTTTTATTTAAAAGAGTTTCAGTTAACTCTTAACTATTTTTATAAGATTCTTATATAATTATTATACAGATTTATCTTATATCTTTCAATTTAAAAAGTTTCAGTTGATTTTCAATTATTTTTCTATGAGATTTTTATACAACTGTTATATAGATTCATTCTATATAATAAATCACTTCTTATAAGATTACTTTTATTAAAGAGAATTATTTATAAGTTAATCTTTTACTTATTCTTATAAATTATCATTCTTTAATAATATAGAGTTGTAAGAAATTTATCATTCATTTATTAACTCTATAGAATTATAGAATCAAGATATTCATAGTCTGTAATTACTTTTTATAAGTATTTAAATTGATTCAGATCTGTGATTTATAACTACTCTTTATTTACTAAAGTAATCTGACTGTTTTATAAAATCACTTATAGTATATACAGATCTTCTCAGAGTAGTATAAATATTTCAGATCTATCTGTGAAATTTTATCTTCTTTTCTCCTTTTCTATAATAGCTTTCATTTTTATAATCTGTAAGTATTCTCATTTATTCATGAAGTGTTTTCACTTAGATAATAGAGAGAGTATTTCTAACAATATCTATATATTAATTTAAGAGCTTCTCAAGAATCAAATTTTTTCAAATTTTAACATCTTTATAAATAATATCTGACTACTACTGAGCTTCTTATAAGTATTTCTGTAACATCTCTAATCACTTTCTACTAGTTAGTGATACAGAGATACTGTTATCTGTAATAGTATTTTCATCTCTCTCAGCTCTGTTATCACACTTACTCTTCAGATTAGTAGCTAACTCTGTATCTCTCTCAGATTAGGTTTTAACTCTTAGTAGTATAATTCTACTCTTTACTATAAGTCTTCTTATAAGTAATTTCTTATAGATTATAGCTGACAGTTTCTGTAAAGCTTCTGATACTGTTAGTACTCTCTACAGCTCTATAGATCTATAATCACTCTTTCTCTATCTATATAATTTCTAATTAAATATATATAAATATATCTAGATTTTCTATTAATAATTCTCACACTGTAGTGCATTTTCAAAATTCTGATATTAATAGAAGATAAGTTTTTAAGTATCTGTACAATCTGAGTAATCAAGATAATGTGAATACTATGAATTTATAATAAGAGTTAATCTAAGTAGATAAACTCTCTTTTTATATTTTAATAATTTCTGAGCTGAATACTTCAGTATAACTAAGAGAGCAGATATAGCTTTGTAAGAAGTATCTAATAATATATACAGATAATTAGCTTTCAAGACTCTGCTATAACTGTACACACTCTAATATCTGACTCTTTTAAAGTCTGTGTATTTTCAGCAGTTTTTATATTAAATACAATAACTATCTGTACTGTGAGTATAATACTCTCTGTTTCTTTAAAGAAGAGAATTGATAGTTGTAGAAGAGTTAAGTATTATAAGTGATAAGAATATAAGTATAAGTTTTCTTTAGTTTTTCTTTATTAATTACTAAATTATGTTTATAATTTAATCTTTATTTTTCTTTATTTTTCAACTTAATAATAATATGATTTCTTCTTTTCTTTATATACACTGTGAACTGTTCATCTCAGTAGAAACTCATTATCTTTATAAACTAGAGTTTATAAATGATAGTATTAATATCTTTATTATAATCAGATTCTTAGTGAAGACTGTATTATTCTAACTTATCAGAATTCATAGTATAAAAGTTATATCTCAGCTTTCACAGATATCTTATCTACCTGAATAATTCTCAAGTGAACTTATTCATCTTATTAAAATATTCTTATTACTAAATCTTGAATTAGAGCTTATAATCTTACTTCTCTAAGTTAATAATCTCTTTAATCTAATAATCTCTTTCACTCTCTAGTACTTTATAAATAGAGTAATAAGTCACAGAGTTCTCTTTCAGAAATTTCTTATATTTATAGAGTAAAAAGATATGAAAAATATTATATATCTGCAACTCAAATAATAGTTTTAATCTTGTAAAAATAAGTGCTCGCAGGGAATTATTCAGATGTTTGCAGCTTAGCATGATATGTACTGATAGCTACTAGAAGTATTCATGACAGAAAGATAAATGTAGAGATTAAATATATAATAGTATTTAAGCTGAGTTGTAAATAGTATTCATGAACTTCAGTCTATATAGTTATATATAGTCAAGAGCTGCTAACTCTATTAATTACATGAGAGATAGAAATAGAGATAAAGAGTCAGTAAAAAGCAGAACTTCTTACTATACTCTCTTCTCTTTAGAGCTTTGTTTATGAAGTCTTTTACTAAGTGATTTCATAGAATCAGACTCAGTACTGCAGTGATACTCACTAAAAACTCTTCATATCTATAACAAATCTCAGTGAGGAAAAATCTCTTATTATTATAAAGAGAAAAGAGTCTGTCATTTAGTTTCTAATTCTGTGAGATTCTTTGTAATCTGCAGATCTTTCTCTGATTATCATGCAATATTTATCTCATATCTTTTATTTAGAAGAGTTTTAGTTAACTCTTAACTATTTCTATGATATTTTTATGTAATTATTACACAGATTCATTCTATAGATGAATCACTTTCTATAAGATTATCTTTATTAAAGAGAAGTATTTATAAGTTAATCTTTTACTCATTCTTATAAATTATCATTCTTTAACACTGTAGAGTTGTAAGAAATTTTTCATTCTTTTATTAACTCTGTAGAATTGTAGAATAAAGATATTTATAGTCTATAATTACTCTTTATAGTCACTTAGAAAGATTCAGATCTGTAATTTATAATTACTCTTTATTTACTAGAGTAATCTAACTATTCTGTAGAATTACTTATAATATAAATAAATCTCTCTAGAGTAGTATAAATTTATGTATATTAATTCAAGAACTTCTCAAGAATAAAATTTCTTTTAATTTTAATATCTTTATAAATAATGTCTGACTACTGCTGAGCTTCTTGTAAGTGTCTCTGTAATATCTCTGATTACTTTCTATCAGCTGATAATTGTAAGAATAAGTGCTCGCAGGCGATTATTCAGGTGTTTGCAGCTTGGCGTAATATGTACTAATAGTTACTAGAAGTATTCACAGTAGAAAGATAAATATAGAGATTAAATGTATAATAGTATTCAAGCTGAGTTGTGAATAGTAGTCATGAACTTCAGTCTATATAGTTGTGTGTAGTCAAGAGCTGCTAACTTTATTAGTTATATAAGAGATAGAAATAGAGATAAAGAATCTGTGAGAAGTAAGATTTCTTACATATCTCTTTCTCTCTAAGACTTCATCTGCAAAGTCCTTCACTGAGTCATTTCATAGAATCAGACTCAGGACTGAAGTGATACTTACTAAAAACTCTTCACATCTATAAAAAATCTCAGTGAGAAAAAATCTCTTGTTATTATAAAAGAAAAAGAGTCTGTCACTCAGTTTCTTATTCTATAAGATTCTTTATAACCTGCAGATCTTTCTCTGACTATTATACAGATTCATCTCATATCTTTCATACAGAAGAGTTTCAGTTAACTCTCAATTATTTTTACAAGATTCTTATATAATCATTACATAGATTTATTTCATATCTTTTAATCTGAAGAGTTTCAGTTGATCTTCAATCATTTTTCTGTAAGATTCTTATGTGATCATTACATAGATTCATTCTGCAGATGAATTACTTTCTATGAGATTATTCTCATTAAAGAGAAGTATTCACAAGTTAATCTTTCACTTATTCTTATAAATCATTATTCTTTAACACTGTAGAGTTGTAAGAAATTTTTCATTCTCTTAGCAACTCTGTAGAATTATAGAATTAAGATATTCACAGTCTGTAATCACTCTTTATAGTCATATAGAAAGATTCAGATCTGTAATTTATAATTACTCTTTATTTACTAGAGTAATCTGACTATTTCACAGAATTACTTATAGTATAAACAAACCTCTCTAGAGTAGTATAAATATCTCAGATCTGTTCATAGAATCTCATCTTCTTTTCTCTTTTTCTGTAACAGCTCTCATTCTTACAAACTGTGAGTATTCTCATTCATCTGCAAAGTGTTTTCGCTCAGATGACAGAGAGAGAGTATTTCTAACAATATTTATATATTGATTCAAAAACTTCTCAAGAATAAATTTTTTTTTCAATTGTGATTCAAAGGTTGCTTGAGCCAGTGTATGATTACAGGTGTACGCTAGCTTCTTATATACATTATACTAAAGTAATTAGTGGCTGCTATGGCCTCTTTACATTTGTAAGCAAGTTCAGAAGTGACTGTGTTATTATTCAACAGTTGTACATTCTTTTAAATCACATTCTCTCTCATCAGATTCAGTCACACTCACATGATCATAATGTCTGTTCTAGCTTCATGCAGATTAGCATGTTACTAGTGTTCATGATTATGTGATCTATCTCTGATTCAGCTAGCATTTCATGTACACTCTCACAAAGAAACTTTCACTATATTATATTACTTATTCACTAACTTTTCTCATTCTTCAATCATCTTCTTCATCATTATCATCATTAAATGTCATTATTATCTTATTCAAGATTACTACTTCTTCTTCTGTTCAACACCTTCTATCTGTTTATCTATCACATTATACGTGTTTCTGGTGATGGCCTCTTGTTCTCACAACAAGTGTCATCATAGTGCTTATACTGAGCAGTTCATTAGCAGTAAGTGTAACATGTTGTGAAATGTATGTGATCAGAACTTATTTATCTTCTAATAATTATCAGAATGTATTATTATAAATAGCACATCTTCTTCATCTTCTTATACATTCTTAATCATTTTTCTTCTCAGTGAGTTTCTGATCATGTTTTCTGACATGATTTTGCATGAATGCAGATACTGATATATTTGTTTTTATTCATGTAGAATCTTTATATGTTGACAGATCTGCATCTGCTGATGATAGTGAACTCAATATTGAATCATTGATTGAGAACTTAGAGAACATGATAATGAAGGAATTATCTGTGTTATGTATGACTGAGTCTCCTGCATTCTTTCCTGCTCTCTCTATTTCTTTCTCTGCTGCTTTCTTTCAATCTTCTACACCTATCTCTGTGTCTGGTTCTCCTGCTTCTGCTACCTCTATTCCCACAACTTCTACTCTCACTACTTCTGCTCTCTCTGGTTCTGTCACCTCTGCTTTCATTACCAGCTCTCCTCATTTCAAGAAGATGTTATGTAGGCTTAATGAACTATGTTTCTCAGTATGTACACTTCTGCTCTTCTTATCAATTCCTAGAATGATTTATTGCATGAAGACTGTGTATGACATGACTATTTAAAGCTCAGTCACAGACACTGATTATTACATTTATTTTAAATATTTATGATAAAGTAATTATTTATTTATATCAGAGAATCATCTCTCTTCTTAACAGTGTTAAGATTGTAAGTCTTTTTCTTTTTCATCTTTTCTTTCTAACACTGATTTTTCTGTTCTTAGAGAAAATTATTATGAGTTTTATTATATATAAAGTTATAATATTCACAGATATCAAGAAACTTTTTATAACTGTAAAGTATAATATTATGAAGATATTCACTCTGATAAATTTCTTCAGAATAATAGATCTGTATCAGTCTATTCTCTGACATCTATTCTCTGACTTCATGATACAGATAAAAGATATCTGTATTTTCAGAAACAGAAATATAGATACTGTACTCTTTTATATCTACAGATGTGAGACTTATACACTTTAGCTGAGATATTATTATGAGAATGAGTTATTCACATACTGTATTCTGCTTTCTGTATTTCTCTGTGTTTCTCTCTCTCTTTCTGAGAAGTCTTGTACATGTTGTAATTGTATATACAATTCTAAGATCAGTGAGTATTTATTTGATAATTGTTATTTCTATCTTTGCAGTTTCATATACTAATAATAGTTCTTAGTTACTTCAGCATCAGAGATCATTTTAATTGAAGATAATAACACTGCTGAGACTACTCTCTCTCACTCTTAAGCTTCTTCTGTCACTTTCTCTTCCTTCTCTGTGAGAAAGATTATGTATATATCAGATTATAAGTATTCAACTCTGAATGACTCTCACTATTATTTATTCAATTCTGTATCTTCTTCTTCTTTCATTTCTTTCATCTCTGTCTTCTCTGTTCTGACTTCTAGTTCTGTGAGTTTCATACTCTTCTTCAATTTTTCTACATGTACATGTACACATTTCTATATTGATATTTCAGTCAATCTTGTGATAAATGATATTAATATTGTACACAGAGCAGTAGAGAAATCAGAGACATATACAGTGTTATTATAAGAGTGACTTACAGCTCTTGAATCTCTTACAGATCTCAAGTTTTGAGATTTTCTTTATTTTTACTGTTTTTCAGATGATATGATGTTGAAAATAGATTAAATATGTAATATATGAAAATGAATGAGATATGTATGATAATATTTGTCTTTTACAGCTGACTTTTACAGTTAATAATCAATTCATTATCTCTTTTCTTTTCTTACACTTTTTCTTTATCTGCTAGTCACTACTCTTATATAATCTCTATATAATACAGTATTCAGTGACTAGATTCAGCAGCTTTCACTTTTTATAATTCTATCTTACATGTTATACTGTCTCTCTTCACCTGCTCAGATCACTACAGTGAATAGCTCATTGAAACTAATCTTATCTGATGTCTGAGTATCTTTAGAGGTTAAGATGACTTGATCTCACACATCTGTGAATGTTTCAGATAATGTATTCTCTGTTATCTTTATAATTAAACTGATGTAAACAGTTAAATTCAACTCTGAATCTCTTTTTCTTCTGTAATCTGACTCATATATAAGTCTGCTGCTTTGAGACTGCTCTTTACTGCATTGCATCTACTATCTACAGTATGTTATTATACAACTGACTACAGTCTCATCACTTATTAAAGTATAATATTCATCTGATTTTTTCATTTCTTTTCATTCTTTTCTTATAATTGTGAAAAGATCAGAATAAGTGAGATCATCTGATTTGTAAGTGTCTATGATTTCTCTTACTTTGTGAGACTTTTTAATTGTAAGTCTCTTCTTTTTCAATACTGATAATAGTGCTGTGAATGATTATAATTCACTCAGGTCTTATATCTTTGCTTTTATCAGATATGAATTATTTATTAAGTTGTATAAGACTCATCCCTCTGATTCTTTCAATGTGTATATTCTCAGAGAATGTAATTTAAGTATTTTATATAGCTTAAATCATCTAGATTGAAACTTCTCAGAACTCTCATTATATATAAGAACTTATGTTCTCATCTTAAGACTTGATTTCTTAACTAGTGAGCCTTGTATTCTTTTTGATTGAATTGCTCAGTTCAGAAGTAACTTGTTAGCTTTTGCATGTGCATGGCTGATCTTCTTCAATCTTGATTTCATGTCCGTGACTGCTGCATTCACAACTGCTGTTTCTGCTGCATCTGCTACTGTTGCACCTGCAACTGTTGTATCTGCAACTGCTGTTCTCTCTCTCATCTTTTTCAAAGCATTCTCTGAAATGCGCAGATGTAATTCATATAACAGGTAGAATGATGAACACTTGAAGACTGCATACTATCAAATCTGTGTGACTAATAGCATCTGTCTGAGATATTCATCTCATAGTCTCATAGACTTGCTTACTAGATATTTCATCAGTATGTTATTCAAGATTTTATTCAAGTGTTTCATCTTTCTGTTTATCTGTGAATAATATAATGTTGTTCTATAATATCTTATTTGTAACTAGCTCATGAAATGCCTTATTGCTTCTTCTATGAGATTTGTATCATTATCAGTTAGAATCTCACATGATATTTCATAGTTAATACAGATTTCATTATATAGAAACTTCATCATTATCTTCTCTATTATCTCTGAAACTGCTTTTATAACTGATCAGTCAGTAGTGTAATCAATAATAGTGATTATTCATTGATTTTCATTTGATATTCACAGTAATATGTCTATGAGGTTCACTTCTCATTGTTTAAACAGTTGTATTATACACTTCATCTGATATTATATTTTCTTGCATTCTAACTCTTTCTTAGATTCTTTCACAACCTGACAATTCAGACACTTGTGAGTGTATATCTGAATATTCTCAGTCATGCTTGACTAGTATACTCTTGATTCAAGTACACTCATGAGTTCAGAGCTTTCTAAGTGACTGAATTCCTTGTGCATGTGAGTTATCAAGTCATGTTCAAATGAATATTCTAGATAGAGAGCTTCTGCATATTCTAGATTGCAGTAAAGCATAACATTATTTTTCAATTTCTTCAGCTTGAAGTTCAGAAGCATCTCTTCTACTACTTTTATAAGATGCTTATTATTCAACATCTTGTTATTCTTCAAGTAAGAGATTATTGTATTCACTTATTCTAATTTCTTATATTCTCTCAGTGTATTTAATGTGAACTTGTCTTATATCTGATTCACAGAACTCTTACTCATGAAATCAGATCTGTAACTGATTGCATCAGATATCACAGTGTTCAATTTCTTTTAATATTTAATATGAAGATTATATGCTTGAAACTCTGAGATTCAATGTGCTAAGCATTTGAAAGATTTCATTGTCAATTGTAGATAGATAAGACTTTTATAATCTGTGATCACTGTTGTTATATGCCTGTTGTTGATATATCTATCTCATAATATCAGTGTGTGCTTGATTGTCAGCAATTTCTTTTTATACACTGAATAATTGAGCTCAGTGCCTGATAGTTTTCTATCATTGTATATCACTGAGTGCAGCTTGTCATTGTTACTCATCTGTAGAAGAGTATCTTTGATAGCTCATTTAAATGTGTCTATCTCAATGTAGAAAGGTTTATTATAATCTGGTTAAATAAGCACTGAGAATATTGTTATACATTTTCTCAGTGTGAGAAAAATCTCTTCACACATGATATTTCAGATGATTGAATAAAACTTCTTCTTTCACAGATTTGTATCTATTTCTCTTAAGAGATCTGAGAGTAATATAGATATTCATGTGAAATTCTTGATGAATCTGCAGTAATATGAGATTAACTTAAGAAACTGTTATACATAGTATACATTTCTCAGCTGCAGTCAATTCACTATGATATTCAATTTCTTCAGAATAAGATGTATACAGTCATCACTTACTACATATTCTATGAACTTCAACTCTTTCATTTCAAATACATACTTTGTTGATTTGATGTAGAGCTTATACTCTGTCAGAGTTATAAGCACTTTATTAAGATGCTTCAGATATTCATTATATGAGTTTGAAAAGACTAGAATATTATCAAGATATACAAGATATGAGATTTCATTCTGTTTATGAAGAATTGTATTCATCATTATTTAAAAGATGATAGATATATTTATTAGACTGAAAAATATTATCAAGAATTCAAAACTTCTCTTATTACATATTAAACATAGTTCATAAGACTGATAGTTTATCTACACAGATCTATCAGTATTCTGAGAGAAGATTGATCTTTAATAGATATCAGATATTTTCAACTATATTCAACTGTTGTTGAATCTATGACAGTGAATATTCATTCTTGATTGTAAGCTTATTAAGTACTTGATAATCAATATACATTCATCACTTCTCATTCATCTTTTTTATAAATAGAACTGAAAAGTCTCACACACTTGATAAGAGTTATATGAGACTATGTTCTAGAAGATCTGTGATCTGACACTTCTATTCTTCAAGATATATTTATGACAGAGAATATGCATTCTGATTGACTGGTTTTACATTCTCTGTGTTAATCTTATATACAAATCCTCATTCTGACAGTAATTCTGATAAAAGATCTGTTCAGAAGATCTTTTCATACTTCTTCAGAAGCTTCTTTATACACTTATTCTTCTGTATATTCTTTATCTTGATTTTCTCTGCTTTTAAATTCTGTATGACATATAAAATGCTTTCAGATGAGATCTTGTAAATTATTCTCTTTACTTATTAATACATAAGCAGATTTAATTCTTCTATATCAGAGATGTGAAATGTTCTTCTCATATCAGTTAATAGAATTGTATGAACTGTTTTCTTTCTATCAGTCAACTGTATATGATATGTACATCATTGAATCTGCAGATTAAACCTTTGAAATCAATCAAGTTCAAGAATAAGATTATATTTCATGTTCTACAGCTCTCATACTTAAATATAGCAAGATTATTCTC